TTAATTAAATGTAATACATTCTTATTGCTGAAAATGAAATTAACTAAATATCACTGTCCGGAGGAAAGGATTTAAATAAATATGAAAAAAGATACGTTTCTTTTTCAAAATGGGAAACCGATAAATTTTTCTGTATTTATGATTTTCTTTCCGTGTCGATTGTTAAAAAGGACACTTAAATCAGGAAAGGGTTTTCTTATTTAGCAGCATATAAATAAGGCAGTTGTTGCTGGCAATATCTCCATTGTGTGTATTTAAATACACATTATACTGTCATATTTCATATTTATGACCATGCAATAGCAAAGCCCCCAGTCAAAGAATGTGTAATGTGATGTGTTGTTATATATATATTCTGCATGATTAGTTTAAGTTATCAAATTGAATTGATACTTCCTGTATTTTATTTTTTAATAAGTACAATCAGTATTCAAAGCATCATGAAGCAATGATAAAGCAGTATTATATATGTATATACAAAGCTCTTGCGCAGCTATAAAATGGCTCCTCACTCAAGATTTTGCTAGGCATCAGTTGCTTATCTGGGAAAATGACATATTAAAAACAAACAGCTAATCTGATCACATATCACGGGAATCCTAAAGAAGGGCATGAAAGAACAGAGCAGCAAAGGTGATATTCCTGAAAAATACAGTGTTGATCTCTGTCTTTTATTTTAATTCTTAGAAAACAAAAGCATGAAACAGGTTTGAGAGTAAGTTAAAAGATAGGTGCACAGACCCTGAATAACTGAACCTTGCTGTCCGGAGCGATGTGGTTTGTTTACCACAAGAGCAGAAAAGGGCATTTTCAGCATTCTGTCCACACGTACCCTGTCGAGTAATGCAGTCCTCTGGGGTAGGAGAATGCTTTTGTGAATACATGCTGTGATTCAGTGATTTAACCCTGTGCAGTGCTGTCTGTTTCAGAGCTGCAAAGAGCAGAGAAATCCATGCTCTTGTGTAACCAGCTGCATGTTCTTACACACAGAGCTCCCCATTTGACCTTCTGTGGAATCCATGTTGTGCAATGGAAGAGCGGTGTTCTCTGGGGTTTTGCACACAGAACACAGCAGAGTGTCAGATACAGGGTCCCCGGTGAAGACGGAGGATGAGAGAGGGACATGGAGACAATTGTTGTGAGCTGACCGCTGAGGAAATAAGGAAAGCAGAAAGAAGGGATTGGATTTTATCACTTAGTTTTTCAGCTTTAATGCGTTAGCTTTTATTTGTACCTTTATTCTTTAAAATATGAGCACTCTTGGTACTTTGCCTTCCTATTTTACCCACATTTCTTTTTTTGAGGTAATTTACAAGAACACAGTTGTTTCTTAACATGGTTAAGAAAAACACATTGGTTGGCTCTGCCAGGAATAGGAAAATGGGATTAGGCAGCCAGGCTCTCTTGGTTTACAGAAAAGCAACTAGGCTCAAAGCAAGATAGACACTTCTCAGCACCGAGTCTCCTATATGAAACTGGAGTCTGTAATGTGCCAAAAAGTTAAAAAACTCAGTGGTGGGCAGGTTTGTACTTCCCCATTCTCCCCATGACTTACTGGGAGCTGAGATATCAAGACACAATTGGATAGGTAATAGATAAAAATACCTGGCAATTCTACATTTATAAAATAAATAAAATCACACATCCATACAGTATACATGATTTTTTAAGTGTTTTCCTAGTATTCTGAATGTATATGTATTCTGTTCTGTCTGTTCCCTCATTGAAACATTCTTGTAATGATGAATTTGCTGTTTTAGTCCAATACTCCGAATCGGAATCTCTTACCTAATCCCTGTCAGAAATGTGAGTCTCTGAGAGCTAATGGTGCTTACTGGGGCGGTGTTACATTCTCCTGCACATTGGCTTGTTCACTTCTGTGGGAAAAGAATCTGAAGCAAAATGGTCATAATCTTGGTAAATACAATTATTTACATCTGCTTCCACATTTTGTAATTATTGCTCACAGAGTATTCAGAAGGATATACTTAAGCCATCCTATTACATGGTTGTTTGGTTGTAAATGTAAGTTAATTGTTATATATAATATAACTCGTAGTATGTATCAAGAAAAAATGACCCGGGTGATTTTAAGAAGACTTTCTATGATGATCAGCTTAGTCCAGTGGGAAATCTACTTTGTATAGAGACCTCACTGGCTTGAAATGTGAGTCGTCCAACGGATAGATTAAGTGTTTCATCATACTCAACTGGAGGCATGGTACCACATTATTGCTTTGCAGTTGTCTGCAGCCCAAGTGAGTAATACTGGATATGATTAGGAAGCAAGCGATATGATGGTGTCATAAAGGTTTTTGTATTCTACTTTTAAGGCATGATCAGCAGCAGCACTGTAATTTGATAAAATGAGTTTTTAAGGGCTGGCAGTTAGTAAGATGGTTATCTCTACCTGATCTTTTATTCTGTATTGCCACAGACAGGGCAGAATAACCTACTTCACCCAAAACAAGAAACAGTGTTCAATACTCCAACATGGTTAGTTAAATAATGGATCTGATTCTAAGGACTAGACATTTGGTTACCTCTTTCGGTGACAAACGTTATTTACTTTGCAGCAGGATAGGTGATGTGTGTGTGTGTGTGTACACAGAAACATCCAGATAAGGGTTCCAACCACCGAATATGTTGGACATGTCTGATTCAGGGAGGGATGATTGTGCACTACTGGGTGAACGAGCTCTGACAAGAGTGGAGCTGACAGAGGAGAGAGGGGACGACAGTAATTGGAGGCAGTTTGTGGGCCTGAGTGGGGGTTGACAGAAGGGGAGGTGGAAGGGAAGACAGGGCTGCGAGTGTCGGAACAGTGATTACCATCGAGGCGTAATCCAGCACAGTGGTAGTCTGGAGATGGCCCATGCTGTAACCCAGGCAACAGCCAGTATCGCCGTCCCTCTCCTCCCACTCCCTCCCCCTGAGTGGGCTTTAGCACGTCACAGTCCCAAAAACAGCAGAGGACCGAGAACAATCGCAGTCTGCAGTTGCCTACACAGTATTTCCTGCGTGGTTGATTCCATTCAGAATTCTCCCTGTAGGTTTAAAGAGGAAAATTATGATGATGAAGAAATCCCATTGACACGTACCTTGAAACTTCAATTTTTTTTCAAAATGTTTCAACCCGGCTTATCAGTTAATCATATAAGCTTATCATATAAGTCCAGGCTAATGACGGATGATTACATTTTTCATTCAGGAATAACAAGATAGAAACACAGTATCATTGTTTGGTGAGATGTGAAGTAATTCTGTTCATACTGGAATGCAATTACATTTGATTTGAGAACCCAGTGCTGTAACTGTTGTAGATTAGTTCAATTAAAATGAAATAACTGAAGAAGAAGGTAGTGGAGGGTATTTGTGTGAAGGATCAAAGTTTATTTCATTAAGTTATACCCATGTCTTTATCATCATTTAACATTTATCTGTAACATTTGTGTTCAATCCAGAGACTATTTTAGCTGAAATGTCCTTTTAGGAAAATATGGGACTAAAATGATCTTTTCCCAACAGAGAAACTGTGGCATAAATTCCAACTCTCAGTTCCACAGGCTCTGCAGTCCGATGCAGTTTTCCAATCAGTGTCTCAGCACCACTAGGGGTAGGGTTGGCACGAGTCAGGCAGGTGTCTCTCATTTCCATGTGCAAATGTCCATGTGCCTGTAGTCAGTCAATAACTCACTTCTCCTCCAATCAGTGCGGAATCACCTGTATGCAGGAGCTGCAGAGCTTGTAGCTTCGCAGCATTTCTTTATTCTCCCCATATCCCCATACAGAGATTAGGGATACAATGGAAAGTTAGCACCTTGCCATTAATTATCGCCTTTTGCAGTTTGTAATGGGAGAGCAGAATGGACCGTTTTCCATTTCTGGCCATTTCACTTTTTTTTTGCTGCCACAAAGATCATGCAGTAGTATGTTACACATCTGTGTGATACACCTCACAGCCCTGAGCTCAGGGTGACCACATTTCAGGGCGTCATGTTGTGTTTAGTGGTTTAAATGTAATTACTATAGTGTTCAATTAATGTTTTTGTTGTGTATCATTTTCCTGTGCCTCAGAAGCACTCACATGCTTTCCACAATATCCTCTTCTGTCCATATTTTTGGTTGGGATGTAAACAGCTGAATGGTAAGGGTGTTGCTGACATAAATGCCTTTCTTGGTCCTCATTACTATAGCACTGGCCATTTTACACTGCAGTAACACTAAAGTCATTTTCAAGACTGTTAAACTGATGCTTTTTTTTGCTTCATTCTCCCAGATGTTAATTAATTTACTTCTTCATTGTGTCTGACCCACTGAACCAAGCCAGCTTTCAACAGCCTTATATGGTCAGTGTTAATCTCTCAGTCACACAGTTCATCTGTTCACACACAGCTAAAACCTCATCCTCCCTTGCCAAAATAGAAGCTTTGTAATGTTATCACATGAACACACACAACGTAGGATTACTCCAGGTTTTTATTTTGTTGCTGTTTTACGGGTTGTAATTTCTTTCCCAGGGTTGGAAATGTATTTTACAAGGTAAATATTTAAGCACCAAGTGTAGAGGCTGGGCTCCATGGTCCTGTCAGTTCTCTTTGTGAGTTCTCAATGTAGCACGTCACAGAGAATTTTCCATTGCTGGATACATTTCAATCACTTCACCAAGCTGATGAGATTGAATGGTATTTGATTTGTGGCAAAGCGGTCTAATCAGTGTACCGTATAGTCAGAGATGACTGTTATATAATAAAATAGGTAAAGGCTGAGAAAGAACCATCATTTTCAGTAATACCTTTCAATATTTTGCCTAATAAGATCATTGGCACCTGATAAAGACAGTTGTATTTCAGATTTTATACTTAATGGGGACTAAAGCCTATATATTCTGTCTGACAAGTACAGTATAACTGCTTCTGGTTTATGCTGTTTCCTTATGGCACTGTGTTTCATCTAAGTAGGATGTAATTAAAGATATAACGCCTATCTTCTTCTCACAGGGCCAGCTGTCTCAGGCTCTGAACATCCTGTCGGACAGAGCCAAGGAGGCGAAGGAGTTCCTGGTGCATCTGAGGAACATGGTTCAGCACATCCAGGTATTGCAGTGTCAGAGGAGTGCCCACCATTCCCCCACTGCACCCTGCCATGTCTCTGCACCACACGGACTAGCCCTTGCATTAGTGTGGTCTGCCATGAAGAAGGCAAGGGAATTTGTCAAAGGGTACTGAAGTCATGGTAAAGGCATACAGTAGTAAAAGCAATGGCTGTGCTCAGTTGGCTGGATGAGGCAGCGACCCCTGTGGCCCCCTGGGTGTTTGGGGACATACTGTGTTGTTGGTGAGGGATGTGCCTCTTTTCTAGTCGGGGCTGAACCTCTGCTTCTTGGTCCTGTGTTCCTCAGGGGCCAAAAGACGAAGGGGGCAGGTCAGAGGAGACAGCCTACACTTCTTCAGTCTCCCCTGTGTGCGGTCGTGGTGTTCATAGCTGTGTGTTGAGACGTGACAAACAAACAATTGGCAATTCCAAATTGGTTAGGTTATAACATAATGATTGCTGATTCTAAATTTTAAAAGAATCTAAAATTAACTTCCTTTTCATAAAGTGTCATTTTATGATATTTGTATAATTTTTAAAATGTCTATTACAATTTTTTTTTTCAGTGTTTTGGAGCTTTAATTTGAGTTACTTAACTAATCATCCAATTTATTATGTTTTTGTGAGCACTACATCCTTACTCAGAAGTTCCTTGTTACTCCACATCTGCTCCTGGACATTTATTTCTGTTTTTGGAATGCTCAGGCATTTGTTCAGAAAGGTTTTACATTTTTAAGTAGCCCAAGTCTTGCTAATGGACTGTCAAGTGGCCTGAAATAAAATGGGGTAGAAGGAAGAGACAAGCATATTGACGTTAATCATGACAGGATTAACGTCAATTCATACAGTATGTCAGCCTGCTTGGATTTGTTAATGTCTTCTAAAACATCATGATGCTGCCATAACACTCATGTAAAACATCAAGATTTCCAAAGAGAAATCATGAAGAACATGAATTACAGAACATTATTATGGCATAAGGTGGTCATATCTAAAACTTAAATCATTTTTATAAAGAAACCTAAAACGATTTAGTTTTATACTTTTAGCAAAGAAACATTCCTTAATGGATATGACATCTGAAGCAGAGGCCTGTATCATTTTCATTGATGTAATGGGGGGTTATTAACATGTACAGTGAATTCCCCCTCCCCCATTTTAGACAGGTCTGCACTGTAGAAGCCAATAAATCTGTTGGTAAATGTTGTGTGTTATTTTCTAACCATTTGGTACTGATACATACGGCAGAAATTTTTGCAGACTTGCTGTTTCCTTGAATGAGTGAGTCTGGTTCAGAGATCCACAATAAAACAGAAATATTATTAGTGTCTGCTTTCATGTATACATGCCACTGATAACCAGCTAGTCTTTAATCTTTTAATAGTCAAAATGATTGTCTTTTACAAAGCAGGACTTGCTTTTCTAAGTATATTTAGATGAGAACTATATATAGTTGATTATATCTGAAAATGTTTCCAACTGGCCCATGTAACTGGTCTGTTTTTCCTGGGTGACTGAACTTTGACCAGACAGATAAAGGAATTGTTCAGTGGTCCAGTTAGGTGCGCAGGCTTCAGCCCTAGCGATTTATCAGATGACAGCTCGTCGACCCTGTGGGCAGGGTATTTCACATTTTAGCAGAAGAGCGTTCGTTTTGTTTTCCACCACGCTGACACGCAGAGATGTGTACACAGTTACACCCACCAGAGTGCAGGCCGCCACATGTGATTGTGTTGCCATGGTGTTCTTGTCGTGCAGCCTGCAGATGCCCCAGAGACGCCCTTAGTGACATCAGGTTGGGGAGCATTGCAGGTGAGGCCCTGAGAGGGAGGAGAACAGAGGGAGAAGCACCACAGACTCGCTCACTTTCACAGCATTTCCTACTTCTCAAAATAAGGATGCCCTCCATGCCGTTGAATACTGCAAACATATACTATCCAAACGCAGAAATACTGGTATCACGGTATTGTTTTCATAAGATACAACACATTTTTGTGAAGACGTCTTAAAGCAAAAATATATCAATTAAATAAAAACACCAACAGTTGTGTGCCATCCTGTACATAGAGATAGCAGAACAATTTTAAAATCCTATTTAGGTATTTGAAGGCATGTTTATACATTAATATTTTATCCTCAAGTCCATCTTGAACATTTTGGATACGTTTAGCTACCTTAATAGCTTTGTTTGTGATTCTAAACATCACTAGACTCTAGCGTCATTAGACTGAAAATTGGCATGGTCGGATTTATGGTCGCTATAGTCCCTAGAGACTGAATGTTTTAAGTGATTTCTGTTTTTCTGTTTTCTTTGATTTCTTGGGATTCTCATGAAAGCAAGGTGTTTTCTGCCCTTTCCAAATTAGTCTAGTGTCTGTACTCTGTAATAAATGTACCCTGTGTCCTCCACCACCTACAGTAGTTTCTATCAGCATGCATCCAGTCTTTGTGCATTCAAGAAAACCCCTTCGACTCCCCTGAAACACAGTTCTATCACGCTGCTGATCAGGTACTTGCAGCAAACCATTTTGCAGTACCCCTGAGAGGCTCACATACTGTACTGTACACATAAGTATAGAATCTGTAATTTACAGCAGTAGCTGCTGGTAATAGAATTCACAATCCTCTAAAAATAGACTTTATAGATTGCATTTGCAGGGCTTCTTAATAAAAGGTCTTCTATAAGATTGAAATAAAGCTAGGATTCTATTAAGGGTAAGAAGACAGTTTCAGGCCTTCCTTCCTGCACTGTCTGTAGCCCTGGTGTCGCTCTTCATTTAGCCCAATTCACAATTGCAGGCCTTGGGCTTCTCATACAACATCACTGCAGATCAACAGGCTGTTCTCAGGAAGTACGTCTCTGTGTTTGTCTGTGGTGGTTCTCTCAAGCCTTGGGGCCTGCACTATTTGGCTCAGAGCTGGCATTGTTCTGGCGTGTTATAGTTATATCTTATGTATCCACAGGAGAATGGGGTGGAGTTTGAGGCCTGCCTGGTGGCACAGTGTGATGCTCTCATCGACGCACTGAACAGGAGGAAAGCCCAGCTGCTGTCTCGGGTCAACAAGGAACACGAGCACAAACTCAAGGTCAGGAACCTGAGAAAGAACAGCTTTTTGGCTACTTGTGCACATGCTGTGTGGTGTAAGTCTCATCTGGACAGTGGGGCAGCCATTACTGAATACAGAATGCAGTAGTACCAGTGCCTTACCCATCCCATGACTGTTCCTCTTATAACACTCTTACTTGTTTCACGGTATGAAGTGTGATTATTAGCAAGTGCTTGGTCTATATCCTTACACTTCCACCTCAAGCTGTTTCTGCTTTGTTACTTGTGAAGAATCAAATGAAAACAACAATTGTACCCCTTTACAAAGAAGGATTATAGGTACAATTTTCATGATCTGGGTCATAATCCATAATCCATTCAGTTATTTATACTTAACTGCAAAGCAATAAAATATATTTCACCAAATTTCTGTTTTAGGCTGTTGGTTCTGTATCTTTATTACACTGAAAGTTGCCGTCCCCCAGTGTCAATCGGAGACAGCTGTGGTGCCTAAATGAAGATTTTGCTTTCAAAATGGGTTTGACCAAACTTGAACAACTGAACCCTGAAGTCACTGAAATGAGGAAAAATTCATTTGGCATATTTTTTTTTTCTTTTAAAAGTAGTCTGATGAAGGCATTATTACAATGTAAGGGTTACTTTTCCTTTTATTAAGTTTTGTCTTTAGAAAATTAATCTAAACCTATATCTGGTTAACAAATAATAGCTGTAATCGTCTGACCAATATCTTAAAATAAGGTACAGTAGCAGCATGTGGAGATTTCTATCAGTGTTCTGCACAGAGTGGTAACCCGAAGCAGCATCAGCAGACGTAGTTGTTTGATACCATTAAAAAAAACCTCTTTCACATTTTAGGAAAACAGACACCACATGTGTTGAGATTCTTAATCCAAGTGACTAGAATACTCTCTGAATCTTCTGGGCTCTGTGTTTAGTTTTTTTTAATTTACAAAATTGCACAAAAAAAATAGAAATTAGAAGTCAAACACAAAGAGAAAGACATAAAATACACCAGTAGCATTCTGCCTCTAATTTCACGCCTTGCCGGTCCCCGGAATTAAAGTTTTGCGCAAGTTGATGTAAGAAAATGCTGAGGCCGTTTCCTCGTACCCTGGGGAGATAAACGCAGATGCAGTGAGTGACGGTTCGCTGGAAAAGTGCAGAAAAGGGGGCTAATGGAATTGGGCATGGATATGCATTTCAGATGGTCTCCCTGCTATTGATATCATTTATTTATCGTTTTCATTGCTGCAAGCATCGTGCTAAATAAAACAGAAGACAAACGAGCACGGATGAATAATTTGTGGGATAGCCTGGAAACAACGCTATCACTAAAACTCCCATTAGGATATCATGTTTCAGTCTCTGTGCGGAATCTTCATGCATTTCAGTGCGCATGTATAGTATCAGCTGGATAGATCCCAGCCATTTTTCCCAAGCATCTGTACTCTCAATGAGGATCCCTTCTGAACCTGTGTTGAAAAATTGCATTGTTGTTATCAAAACATGAATGAATTGTTTCTGATCAGTCAGAACCTTCACATTCTTACAGCAACTATACCTGTAGCCTTCATTTCTATTAGTTTCCCACATGTTATATTTATTGATATTTAAAGCTTTGTGTTGATTACAGTTGGTTCTGTTTTGAGTGGACCCTATACCCATAACCATTTTAGGTATGTCTGTGCATTTTAATTAGGCATGTCTGTAATGGGGTGTATATTTTTCCTTACTATGCAAAAATTAAGTTGGGATATCACGGTTACACTAAATGTTTACCTATAGGAAAGGCTGACTTAAATATAACATAACACTGTTTACCACCTCACACAAATAAATCCTCAGTTCCAGCCTCTACAGGACTCGTAAGTGTTGTGATTTATCTCTCTCTGCTTCCTGTTAGATAATTGCCATTTGAAAAAATAATACTCTACCTCTAGTATTGTGCTTTGAAAAAGCCAAGCAGGGTTAATGACCTCTCTGTCTTTAATTAGAAAATCTTTTTATCTCCAGTTCAGTCCTAGCAGCCATTCCACATCTATTTCAACAATTCCCTGAAGGGACCATTAGCGCTCTTCCCTCTGCTTTAAAATCCCCCAAGAAAGACATTTCAAAGACACACAGAAAAATGTGCACATGAAGGGGACATACATGTGCTCTGGGAATTTTTGAATTGAAACATAAAAGCTTTCAGTTCAGCAATGTTGAACTTGAATATTTAAATATCTGTGAGAATTCTGATGTGTACAGGACTTTTATAATGGCAATAGACCTGTACAGTGAGGGAGAAAAGGCAGATGAAAGTTTTTTTTTCTATATTTCCTTGCATAGCCACTGTTTCCCCAACACCCAAGCTTAAAAGGAGGAATCCAGTTATTGGGAAGAAAGCTGACCACGTTCTTTAGGAGTAAACTGTCCTCCTCTGCTTGTTCTTTTGTTTGTCTCGTTCATTCTAATGTTTGACATCTAATGCCACATAAGACGGCCAATTTAAATTGTTTTAAACCAAATCCTACATTTTCAATCACCTTCTGAGCTTCCGTGTAACAGTAATAAAAAGATTCATGTGTTCATAATGCCAAAATTACTGTAGAATGTCTTATTCCAAGTGTTATCAAATGATTCTGTAATTGAGAGTGATCTCTTAATATTGGGATATTTGCTTAATCGTTTTTTGTTGATATGCAATCTGAATGTTATACTTTAAATTTTGTAAGAGCACAGCAAAATGGCTATGTTATGTTCTTAAACTGCACCTCCCCTCTGATTTCTCAAATGAGAAAAGTGACATTAAGAGACTGTCTCCATGGCTACCACTAATGTTGTAAGCTGGAGCAAAATAAACTAGGATTTCTGTGACGTGTAAAACAGTTCATTTTTAAATGGGTATTTTTAATCATCATAAGGCAGCTCGTGCTTTAGTGGGGATCTTGATGTTTTAGGAGAGATTTTAAGTAAATAGTAGCAGGCTTTCACATATTAATACATGTAGGATATTTTGATAAATATTTGAGGCCTGTTCATGTTTCCTAATGAAGACCTTAGAGAACTATATTTAAACAGTGCAGTGTGTGTGTTCATTGCTGGTGTTTCTTGGCAATAACTCACTGAATTATTTGGCCCTCCCTTGGCCACTTGCTTTTATCAAAAAAAGACCCACCTCCCACCTCTTCATTCAGCCTGATGCTTAGCTCTGCTTGAGTCTCAGCTCCTCTCCTCTTTCCCCTGACGCACATTGTGGTGCACACCCACCGCATTCCAATTAGTCTTCCTTAGTGGGCCGGAGAAAGTGTGTTCCAGGATGCCTTATTAGATTTAAAAGCATGAGTAGAAATATTCACTGCGACTTCTGGGTTGATTTCCTCTCACAGGGCAGCACTGGGATGAAAATGGAAACTGTGATTCTCAGCAATTGTATCGCATTTTAGTTCTTATTAGTCAATGAACACAAAACTTGAGGGAAATTTTTCAGCTCAGTAGTTTTTTTCTCAAATGGTAAATATTCTAAAAGTGCTGTAGCAAGGCATAGCATAGAAAAAAACTGCGACATGGTCATGAATCTCAAAACATAATGGGCACTTTGTAAATTCATGTACAGGTTCATCATGACATTGACGGGTCAAGGTAGCTCATTTTAGGTGTTTATGATCCCTGACCAACTGCTAAGTATATTCAGTTTCATTGATTTAAAGAGATTTTAAGGAATGCCATTCAACAAGGCTAGAAGTGAAGTAAAACTGGAAGTAAAGCTGGAACCAAGTGAAACCAGGTTTGGTGGACCAGTAGGCGGTGCTCTTCCCACTGGAAAAAAACTTTGAACTAGTTATCCACTACATTGACTGGGGACACTGTGCTGTAGGGGGTGTCATCCTTTGGATGAGATGTTAAACCGAGGTCATATTTGATCATTAGAGATCCTGTGGAACTTCTCAGAGTAGTGATTGTGCACCCCAGCCTCCTGTATGACTATATTCCACTTTGGACTTGTTAAATTTGGTCTGCAGAATATATACAATTAAAACATTTAGAATGATATTGTTGTCAAGATGAATAAGAGCATGACTCTCATTATTCCTAATATATTTAATATACTAGCCTAAGTATTATTTTGCAGAAATATTGGTGCCCATTAACGTGAAGCAAAGAGACTGGCAGGACCAATTGTGCTAGTTCTTTTTTTCCCCTCTCAAATCTTGGAAAATATGTGGCTCCCTGAATAAACAAATGAGAGAGGCATCCAAAAAGTCTCTAGTACGCTAGTTATCGAGACCTCAAGGTCTAGCTTGATCCCTTAGCACAATACAAGCAATCCATCGCCAAGCATTTTGTTCTCATTTTCATAGAAACAGGATCTGAAAACGGATTTTCTTTCCTTCCTTCCTGGCTTCACCTCACTCAGTACAGTGGCAAGTGTATGAATCATCAGAGACAGCAGTGATCAGCAAAATGCCTTGACGGGTTATTTCTACTGAATCTTAAATTAAAGCGTAAATCAAAGTGCCTTCGTTGTTTCAGTGCTAGAGGCATGCGTCATGTGCCAGGGGACCAGACCTGGTAGCAGATGCGGAGTCTGTGCACTGGGCACTGAAAGAGAGAGTAAGGCGTAGTGTTTTGAGTTGCGGACCACAGAGCGTCTTGCTGAGCTCTGCTGCAGGGCTCCACAGTTCCTTGCTGTGTCTTCTGTGTTACAAGAGTGTCGACCCCTGTGTCTAGAATGCACTGAATAGATTACCAGCAGGACTTCTTAATACATTTACTTTTACCAACATTTCCCTCTCCAAGCTCTTCTAATGTTGCCCTGTTTTTGCTCTTTTTCATCTATCCCTCTTCTTTGTCCCTGTCTGTCCCCTGACTCTTTTCACACACCCTCAGGACAAGGGGGAAACGGAAGGTAGAGTTCAGTGCTTTGTTTGCTTCTCCCCCCAGTGTTGTCATCATTCGTCCCTGACATGCGTTCCTTTTGTCTCATCCCTTATGACCTTTTCCCGTTTGTGCCTCCTCCCCTCTCCTCCCTCCTCACATCTTGAACAGAGAGAAGAAATAGTTCAGGGCTGAATTATGTCACCATACATTGCATTTAAAGGGACTAAAT